AAACAGAACATCATGTAGGCCTTGTCTATTTTTAGATCTAATAAAAAACCCACAACCTCAAAATTAACATGCAACCAATTGGAAAAAAAAATCTTAAGTATTTAAATAGAAAAAAATAACCCCATACTTGCTCTGAGATTAAAATATATTGGCAATTAAGTAAAGAAAAATATTAACAAAATTTCTCAGGAAATGGGGGAAAAAGGTAAAAGGAAGAGAGTCAGCTTAAGGTGCTGGGATTCTCCTATCAGTTTTTATGCCTCAAGGGCATTGACATATTATAGAGACAGCATATCACGGCACTTGTTAAATTAATATAATGTATCACTGTCAAAATGCCCTTGTAATCTAATGGCTTGCTGAATAAAATGTCAATTACTGGCTATCCTACAGCACAACTCATAACTATGAACATAAAGACTGCTGCTGCCAGCATTTTAGAATTAAAGCAGCCATTGCTATCAAGTTCAACTAAACAACAGTTACTAAGGAGTGAACAGAGTAAAGTTTTCTGAAAATTAACCAAATAATTTTGTATAATATATTTCAAATTTTTATAAGTCTCTTTTTTATAAATTTTATTTATAATTTTATAAATGTAATTGCCTGAAGTACTTGTTCAATGAACTTTATTTGCACATGATTATATCAAGTCAACTAACAGCCTAGTACTTCAAAACCAGGCATCTTTTCATCTGTAAAAAAAAGTTGCCAAAAGATCCTTGAAACTCACAGATGAAGTTCTCCTTTCAATCTTACCCTAGTCCACTCGATACCTGACAGATCTTTACTGTATTTGAATGATTCTCACAATACAGCAAGAAAGTAAGTTACAGGATAACACACTTCATTACCTCATTGTCACAATCAAAAAAGAGAACAAAAGAAACATCTGCTTTTCCATCCATGGTCTTCTTCCAGCCTTGAAGATTATCTTCATTCCTGGGAAATCCATCAATCAAGAACTTGTTCTTCTGGGAATTGGCAGCCATTGTTTGATCCATAGCCTGATAAAAGACAATTCAATTCATGATCTCCTGCACATCAACCATTTATCTGCTTATTAAACTACCCTGAAAACATTGACGTTGTAAGATGAGAAGCATTTATCTTAGAATTACTACAGATTTACAGAATGTATTTGTTTCACCTTCAGTGCATGCTAATTAATTCTCTGATGCACCCTCTTTCAAAATGCATTCACTATTTAATAAAGCTCAAAATCTCATAACACACAATCCCACCTTTAATGTTATTTTCTACAAGACACTGGAAAGCACTGTTACACAGTAAGATGCCAAAACATCCCTGATCTAGTTAAATCTAATGGGAAAGTGCGAGAAGAATTTAGTGTCATGAGCAAAAGAAGCCTCTTCTGCCTTAAAGGGGATACTCTGGTTGTTTTCCTGGAAATTTAATAATGATACAGGCTGGACCTTTTCCTTCCACAGGAACATCAGCAGGTGCTCTTCTAAACCTGGCTATTTATTTTGATAAAGCTTGCAGAAACTTATTACGTTTATGGCCGCTACCCTCCAGCTAAATATGACTGAGCTGACCAAGAAGTCAAAAAGCTAGGTAAGGTAAATAAGAAATATAAGAAAAGGTTTTGCCTATTTCCCTACAGCTACTAAATAAAACAACAAAAAAGAAAAATAATCCATTTGCAGAGGTCCCCAGATATCAGAGGCCATCACCTACTGTCCTCCAACCAGCCAGAGAGAAACAGGAGTAACTGCTAAGAGAAGCCCAGTAGGTGATGGACACCTGCGTGTCTGCCATCTCGTACTGCCCACGCTGGAGGAGAGGCAGCTCTTCCAGGATACAGCCACAACCCTGCTGCTTAGTCTGCAAGAGACAACCAGCAAGGAAATAGCCCTCTCCTTACCCTCTTCAGCAAACTGATTGTTATTTCAACTGGTACAATCTCCCCCTCCTTGATGTAGTTCTCAATGAGTTCTCCATACTGCGAGCCCGGCCTTTTGCGTTCGTCTCGGAGGAGGTCACCAGCAGACAGATGTGTGTAGCCATACTTCTGCAACGTGCAAAACAAACAGGTAAAGACTCCCTTGAATTAGCACATGTGCAAAGTCACCATCACTGGACACTGTCAACACCATTAATCTTTGTATTATAACAGAAAAATACAAGGAATAGCATCTCGCTAGCAACGGATCTATCCCATGCTGAGTGTGGAATCTGACAATCTAGCACACTAAAGTGCTAGAAATGCACAGAAAGCACAGCTGTAGAGAGATTCTTGGGTACAATGCTCAAGAGTGCTTTGGTCAGGCACTCACATACTGTTTTCAAAGGTAATTTTGTCACATTTGGAAAGGAGACTGTCTCAATGTCCTCAAGGTGCTTCACAAAACGTTACACAGCACAAGGAGATGTTTAACTATCACCAAATTCCATACAGGCTATGCTCCACCCTAACAGTTCAACTACTTAAAAATTGTAAGTGATCATCAGTTACTGGGTCAAATCTTGATTTATTGAGTGAAAATGTAGAAAGGAGGGGTACCATCTCACCTTACACAATAAGTTTGTAATTTCATCTAATTGCCTACTTAAAGAAAAGCACACAAAGTGACTCCAGGTCTTCTGGAACTGGAGGAATGTTTCAAGCATAACATGAGTCAGAAATCCTTTCGCTTCCATTGTGGTTTTGGCACCAACTTCCTCTTCCAACTTGGGCAAATCACTGATAACTCTGCACCTAACACACAAACAGCCCTACGCATGCACTCCTCCAAAGCCAGCCCTGCCTGCCCCTGCTGCCTCCTTTCCTCTTCTAACAATGACGTGGCAGATGATGGTGAACAGCTACATTGGTGCCACCCTATGTCACACCATGTAAAGTGAACAGAAAAGGCAGAGATATCAGGTCCAAATTATCAATTTGATACCAGTATGCAGGAAAACAGCAACCAATATTAGTCTTTTATTTCACCTCGCACTACACCTAAAAGAAGTCGCAAATGCAAAATACCAATGTAAAGTATTTATTACACTTGAATTTCTTGGGCATTTACTATCATGGATAGACATCCAGTGCAAACACACAAATACACTCTTACCAGAGAGAAATGTGTTGTTATAATGAAATTTCAGAGGACAAACCAACCACTTCCTCCATTCACTTAACACCGCAAGGAAACTAACCAAGTGCACTGTGCTCCTTGACCAAATACAGTCCATAAAACTAGGCCATAAAATATCACATTGGTGATTACCTAAGCTAGCTATACATCCAAAACAGACTACATCTATACATACTCATCCTAAAGTTTTTACACAGAACAAAAGCAGCGGCAAAAAACTTCAGGGTTATCATCTTGGCTGCAGCAACATCCAAAGCAAATTTCAAAAAAGGTGTCTAAGCAGCGTAATAATAGGACTACACTCTTTTTAAGGCTGTGAACTTGGGATTTAAAAACTTGGCTACTGGACTAAGTACAACAGAAATATTACACAACCCACTAAGTGACTTTAAAAACATTTCGGTTGCTTTCCAATTTCACCCACAAAAGCGTGGAACTGCCATAGTCATAATTTAAGAAGGGATATAATTACCTAAATCTCCAAAACTCTACACAGCTGGCAATAAAAAGCTAGCAAGATTTTGCTCCAAATAACTGTGAAGAAAAAGCTCCACAGACATCCTCCATAAGCTCACTGTACTCCTGCTTTAATGCGCATCGCATTTGGATATGCCTATTTAATTGCAAATCTAAATGTTAACTATGAACTACAGAAGCCATAAACCAGAATAAATCTTTCCTTATAAGCAAGAAACCTTATTCTGCTGTACCCTAAATTAAAATGTGGTTCTCCTTGCTAAAGTTAAATAATTATGATATTTTTAACATCAAGTTTCTACAAAGGAGAAAACGGGAAGAAAATATAATCCCTTCGGTTTTAGGGGATTACCAAACCATTTAATTTTCCTTGGCATTTCCCTTTTCATGCATGAAAACAAAATTGAGTTAGATAATTTTTTGAATTCTCTGTCTTTTGCAACAGCAAACTAAAATAGTTTTTTAACAGCTGAACAGGAAAGTAAAAGATAGAAGTGTTTTAAAGTGCTGTCGTATAAACAGACTCACTTCAGATAATAGCAAACTGTATTCTTGAGTAACCTTCAGAATGGATTAACCAGGCAATAAGAAAAACAAACCTCTCCTTCAGGGGCAAAACATCTATTTGTTAACTGTACTGAGTCAAGAGCCAAAGAAAACACGTCGGTTTAAACAATGCAAACAAGCCCAGAGAAAGGCTTGGCGGCTGCTCCCAGCACGGGCGGCTTCAGAGACGCGGCGCTCACGCTGCTCTTGCCGGTTTTAATCAACACGTACAGGGCACAAGGTTTGCCTTCGTCTTAGGCAAGATAAACCCGCAGCACGCATCCTGAATCAGAGTAAATTGTCATGTCCTCAAGAGCGTGTGATGGCAGTGCACAAAAATCGGGGCAAAACACCCTCGTGCCTTGCCAAGGTTTGCACTGTGCCAGTGTGACTTTCCAGCAGGGCCAAGTACATCTTGATGAAACCCCCAGAACGTGACTCAGAGCAACTGCTGCCTAATTCTTCTCTGAAATCAGGAAGGGAGCAAGGCTGTGACTTCCAAACAACGAAAAAACAGTTTATCCAGTTCTTGAAGGATGTATGTATGTTAGATTCGTGATGCTAGACTGAAAGGAAGACTTCAAAATAGAAATGAGGTTAAGAAGTTTTCTAAATACTTGCATGCCAAGCATCTAAAAATCTGGACATATTTTTTTTTCTGGACAAGCATTTAAAAATCTGGACTTCCAGCTTTCTTCTATTAGTCAAGGTTTGCAGCTTCCAGCCCGCAGACAGGACAGGCTTTGTTTCAGTAAATACAAGAAATAGATGGATACAACTGCAAAAGCAAGAGTCATATCTGTGCCACACTTGAATGAGGCAGTCTGCCCTGGCGAGGTTCTTCAGGCAGTCTGAAAGGATCAGTGATGGACAGGGGCTGCTGCTGGGACTCCTCGCACAGCCAGCTTTCCAGGGGCACAAGGTTTATTTCTGAATCAGCCCTGTGTGGTCCAGCAACACACCTCCCCGCTAAACACAGAGCTTGAGACTTCCTTAAGAGAGCAAATGCCAAGAAAAGCAAGAGAAACACAAATTACTACTTTGACCTTGACTCTTATCTTGGCTTATCATTGTTACTCTGAAAATGAAAGTCACAGGGCTTAAGATCTAAACAAATAAAATACAAACTTTTATTGCCCTAGTTCTGACCTGTCATATCTTGAGCAACCTTAATAAACAACCAAAATTTGCTACATACACCATTCTTGAGCTAGTTAAAAACAGAACCATGCAAAGCCTGCAGCCTTTGGGGTCTTTGTAACTCAAAAGCTTTTGGCTGTCTTACTAGCAATTAGCACATAGAATTAAAACTTTGGGGTATAAACTACAATGCAGTAACAGACCTTCTGTCTGCTTATTCCAATTAAAAAAAAAAAAATTGAAGACATTTTCTTAGTTTGAAATATGTTCTTGCCCCTGGGGGAGGAAAAACAAACAAAAAAACCCCATTAACAAACCAAAATGCACAAAGGAGATCCTACTGACAGTATTCCCAGGAAATGGGGGAGCACACAGAGCACCCCAGTGATTCAGGAACACCGAATTCAATAAAAGGCACACAGGGTGTTTGGGGAAGTCCAAAATTCAATGCCTGATGTTCTGCAAAATAGAAACGTATAAGGATAAACCTTCAGGGGGTATATTTAAACAATCACTCACCATGTTTTAAAAAAAACTTCAAAGTTCAGAAACATAAATTTATATATCAAAAAAGAGCTATGAGAACTTAAGGCTAAGTAGAATACTAATACTTGACAGTCTTGAAAGAGATTTCAGAAGTTGAGCTTAAAACAAACAACTTAAAAAGTGGGTTTTATTTCAAGCAAGTTAAGGCTGCCTCTCAGCAGTCATCCAGAAGACAATTAACGCAGGCCAACAAAAGCTGAATCCACTGCTACTTTCAGGAGTGTTTCTGATACAAGCTCTTCTTGCATTGTTTTCTTCACCCTAGGAAGCCTCCTTATCATACATCCCAAAGCAACTGAACAGCTTTTTCCACTAAGATATTCACTTATGCCCTTATAAAAGGAGAAGGCTCAGCATCCCACTGCTGGAGTTTTAGATTTAGACACAAACATACAGGACAGGTCTGTAAGGGAGGTGAGTTATATCTGAGGTGTGCAGAGAGGGATGTCTTGTATACCCAAAATCCCTACACAAACATCTTGCCAAAACAGACAACAAAACCAACTCAAATCTCACGAGGAATACTGATTATTTAGTTATTATTTTTCCCACCAACCAACCAACTCGGCATTTTGGGCAAAGGATGTAAACCTTTAAGTAAATGGGGGGGGGGGGAAATTAGCTACATGAAAGCATATTTTGTCCAGATCTGAAAAACACAGTTTTTTCCTTGACTTTATCATAACCATTTTATAAGCAAAGTTCAGAAGTGTCCTACACACACATAAGAATCTCATAGTCACAGAAGATACAACGCTGTGGAAAGCATCAAGGTTATTGCAAGAACCTGCATTCAAATTACATCATTCAACTACCACCTCAAACATTCTGCCTCACATGACAGCTATGCAACAGTCCCAGATGCCAGCAAGCTCCACCTAACAGGGCTGTGGAAGGTTTCAGGAGTTAATCTGCAGAGCTGGGAGGGAGAGGATAAAAACTTAAGAGAGAATTCTGCTTCATCTCTTCCTAAAATAGGAGGGACTGGTCCAGAGCAGCCGTTCTGCTGCATTTGCATTTCAGTGGCAGTTCTGTGAGTTTGTGGAACATGGACAGGAGTCTCCCCTCTGTATCGGAGAAAACCAGCCTGGTTCAGCTGCCTCCTCCAACCTTATCTGAGAAGATAAAGAAATCTAATCGCTGGCCTGCTGCTCCCTTTCATACACTGTGTCAATACCCACTTCCGCTTGTTACTGCATCTTCTTCCCCCAAATCGTTT